ACACACACACACTTTTTATTTCAGAGAGAGGAAGGGAGAGGGAGAGAGGGATAGAAATATCAATGATGATAGAGAATCATTGATTGGCTACCTCCTACACACCCCTTACTGGGGATTGAGCCCAAAACCCGGGCATGTGCCCTGATTGGGAATCGAACCATGACCACCCAACCAGCAAACCACACCAGTTGGGTCAGTAACATGTCTTGAATGGATGGTTGAATGAATGAATATTGATTAGCTGAACACTCCAATTCCAAGGAGCCAGACACCAGCTGTGTGGAAAGACACAGAATTATCAAATCTGAAGTACCAGAGACCCTGTACCAACCTATTGTTTTCAAATTCCTTTTGAGGATCAGCCAGAATAAGGATAACTTTAGGCAGTGGTGAGATCTGATCTCTCACCAAGATCTTTTCATGGAAGGAAGGTGGTTCTGTTAGTAATGGCAGTTGCTTACATGAATATGCCCAAGGGCTGGTGTTTTGGAAGGAAGTTCCCAGTTGAGTATATGCTTACCTTTTTCTCCAGACATGTTGCGTGTCCCACTGAAGTCCTCCAGTGGTTTTGACCCAGTGGACTCTGAACTCAGCTACACTGTTAACTAAGCACTGGGCTAAGCTTTTTCACGGCCCTTCTCATTTTATCCGCTGCCACTATGCAGCTGGGAAGAATCATGGAAAACCAAGCCAGGGAAATTGGGTTCCAACGCAACCATCACCACTTTTTAGTTGTCCTTGGGCCAGTGTCTTTACCTCTCTGAATCTCTTCTTCTCCTGCTAAAGGCAGATTATAGAAAATTACTTTGTGACATTACAGCAAGGACTAGATGAGGCAGTGGACTGCAAGCTTTTGTGTAGAAACATCCCAGTGTGGCTCTGAGGCTTTTGTGCACACAGGCTTGGTTTAAACTGCTAAACACTGTTGGGATTTAGCTTCCCCACGCCTGGGGGCCCACCACAGCCTCTAGCTGCCGCTGGGTCTTTTAAAAGCCTGTCCCTCACTGTCTCGCCAGATCACATTGCAATGGCACAGTTTGGAGGCACACAGACTTTGATCTGGATCACAACTCTGCCCCCATTAGCTTGCTGGCCCTGGGCAGGTTCCTTCATCTTTGTTTTAGCCACAGGGCCCTCATTGTGAACTGGGAAACCAGAACTTCCCCTGCTTAGTGATGGCAAAATGTAAATAAGCCATATAGAGAGTGGCCAGCACTTACTGCAGTGGAGAGGGGTTCTCAGGGCAGGTTCACCTTCTTGCCGCTCCCTCCTCCCTGCTTCTCTCCCCTAGATCATCGTGAGGCAGGGAGAGCAAAGGCAAAGGCTCCTGGGTTTGAGCTTGGACCAGCTGTCCCGGGCAGCACTGAAGGCCAAGGGCTGAGATAGATATTAGATTCAAGGGTCCTTTTATTTGGGCAGTTTTGAAAGTTTTTCTTTTCAAATCTCTAGTTTTGAGTTTAAGTAAACCTCACTTTAAGAATAAAAAGGGGACAAAACTCTGAATTCCAGGATAGCTGCACTAATAGCAGGTCACCCAGAGATCACATTCTGAAAAGGATCTGTCACCACACACATAGCGGCATTGTTTCTCTAATGCATTTAAATTGTGATGTGATTTTAAATATTCCTTGTCCACACAGTTAATTACACTAAAACACGAGGCCTGGCAAATAATAGGCTCTCCACAAATGTTTCAAGACGACCTGCATGAATCGGTGATTAAAATGAATGAATGCTGTGGCACTGTGCCCTCACTTTGGAATCTGACATCAGGCATTCACAGGCCTTTCTTTTGTTTTCCTCCCACCCAAAGAAATAAGCATCTACTTTGACCCCTAGAAAATTGTGATCTTCCAAAGGAGATTGAGGGCACCTGAGCACTGTTATACGCACTCCATTCAGCCCCAGATAGAGGCAGAACAGTATATATAATAGGGGGCTTACTGGACTTATTTTATATATGGGGCTTAATATTTTAAAGTGAGATTTCACAGAAAATAAAACAGATGTAGGTGGGAGGTCTCGCACTACAATAGGGACAGGAGATTGGGAGTTGCTGGCAGCTCACCACTCTCGGCAGCCCCTAAGCCACCTCCAAGGAACCCCTGAGGCTCCGGGGAACACTGTTTATAAACCACTGATAGAATGAAGAGGACCAAATTGACAACCAGGAGACCTGGTTTCTTGTGACCACAAATTGGGGTTGACAGAGAATAGGACTCGGTACCAGCCCCAGAGGAGATACTTACAATTACTGAGATAATCTACAGAAAACAATACATTTCTTCATCCTTTGTGGAGAAACCCACTATTTGCTGTATACATACGTATATATTTATGTACACATATTACATACATGCACATTTATATATCTGTTTAAAATACAGACCTTTATGGTAGCGAGAACACCAGACTCAGGACTCAGACCTAAGTTCAAGTTCCAACCTTGCTGTTATTACGTGCTGTATAGCCCAGGGCAAGTCACTGAACTGCTCTGAATCTCCTCCCTCATTCTCACACAATGGGAATGAAACATGGAAAATATGGCACCAACCAGCTAAACTAAAGGCCATGAAAATTGCAGGTGACTATCTTCCTTCCTGGTGGCCTTTGCTGGATCAGCTTCCTGGGCCTACTCCTTAAACACCAACTTTCCGAGTTTTCATCCTCTTCACCTCCCTTTTCCCCCACTCCTACCTTGAGCCTACACCTACCTCCTCTCTTCTCCCTTCATTGTTCCCTGAGTCCCATATGCACTAACGATAAAGCTCCCATTTATTGAGCTATTTATACTTGTATAAAGCATTGTAGTAGGCATTCCTCATAATTTCTTTATGAAGAATGTGGCAATATCCATATTTCATGTTAGTTCAGGCTTGGTGTAGTCAGTCTACTCGCCCAAGGGCACAAAGCTAATTGGTGGAGCTGGAATTCAAACCCTGACTCCAAAGGCTCCATCCTACACTTCCTGAAAATTGTACCTGCACATCCTTCAGAGTCAGTTTGTTGGATGGAACCACAGAGAACATCTTTCTCCCCCACTTTTTGGTAACTTAAATTTTGATTTAAAATTGTAAACTCACAGAAATTTTGCAGGAAATGTGCAAAGAACTCCTTTGTACTCTCTACCCAAATCCAAACAACTACTTGTAATGAGTTAATGGCCAAGGAGGGAGCTGAGAAGGGCCAGAGAGGCATCATAGAAGCCAATGAATGCGAGTTTCACCAAGAGAGAAGGGTCACTCTGGTTAGATCCTCCAGAGAGGTCAATTGGGGTTACGTGTCTCCAACTGAGTGGCAAATGGTTGAAGTTTTTCTTGTAAGAAATTGTCGAGGAAACTGAGCAAAGAAAAGGAAAAGGACTGACTTGAGCAGAAGCTTCAATTACAATGGCAAACCATGAATCCGTGGTGGTACCACGGTGCTCCAGGCAGCACCCTGGCACCCGGGATTAGGAATAGAGAAGGTGGATGGAGAATTAATCAAAGGCATACTAGTATATGAGTGTTGAAGGAGCCATTGGTGAGGGTCTTGAGGTCCAGACTAGTGAAAGAAGAATGATCAGCAGGGGATTGAAAGATGAGGGGAAATGAGGGAACCATAAGGCTGGAGGGGCCTATGATTTTAGGATAGTAAATACCTCAAGATCAAGTTGCTCTGCTGGGTGCATAGGCGGCAGGGGAGAGAATGGGATGATGGAGTTTAAGATTTCACAGATGGCTCTCTTGGGCCCAGAGCAGCAAATCCTGGGTATGGCCAAGGACATGGATGACTTTGGGTAGGAGGACTGGCCTCTAAAAAGCAAAGGAACTGAAGGGAAGATGAGCACATAAGCACACAGGATTGCAGAATGGGGGATGAGAGAGAGTATGTGCCTGCCAGATGTTGTCTGTTTCATCCATAAAGACTAAAGCAAGGTCACCAACTGAGAGTAAGCGGAACAAGAGGAAGGGTGAGAGGTCCGAGGGGCAGTTAGAAGGAATGAAAGGTTCTTTGTACAGAGTAGGAGAATGAGCTCAATAGAGCTAAATGGCAGAGTTGCTGGGAAATATCTAGGATTTTTTTAAGGTGAATAATCAGGAATTTATAGTGATGTCAATCTTCCTGCTCATGTGATTTTTCTCCAAAAAGCTCAACCTTATGGGGGCAGATCTAGAGAATGTAGGTGGAGAGCTTCATCCATAATTGATATCTTTCAGGCAACTGATGAAAGGAAAAAGGAGCAAGAGACTTGGATGGATTTGCAAGAAAATAATCATCATGGTGGACCATGGGCTCTAGGTTTGATAAGGACAGAAGAGGAGACAGGGAGCTGATGGGTGGAGAAAAAATGTTGGTGTTAGTGGAATGAGGTCTAGACGAAAGTCAGAGTGGAGTTCCTCCAGGGGTTCAGCAACTGTTTATGGAGCAATGACCTCCAGGAGGTGAGAGAAAGCTCTCCACTGCAGAGGGCTGCAGAGGAAGCAGTGGACTGGGGAGGGGGAGACGGGCTTCGATTAAGGCAGGAGCTGGAGCAGGAGGTACTGAGAGATGTTGCAGATGCCAGCCAGGTTTGTTTGCCTTAGACTTGGTGGTGGGAACGTGGACAGGAGGAGGAGGCAGGTCAGTAGTAGGAGAAGCAAGGGAGGACAGCATGGAATAGTATGGGAATCAGTTTTGGGGAGAAGATAGAAGGCCAAAGGCATTTGCATCTGAAGCAGTTTCCTTTTTGGTGCCAAGTTGTTGCAGTGCCAGAACTGGCTGTGAGTCCCAATCGTTCCTCCTAATGCCCCTGGAATACCACCCTGTTATAAGGTAGTGATGTCCAGAGGAAGAGAGGGAGTGGCTGCAGAGCTCAGACATGGAAGGCTATGGAGAAGTCTGAAAGCTATCCAGCAGAAAATGTGACTGGAAAAGGCAAAGAGAGAAACATCAACATGTGTGTATTCATTAATTCAGACCTTGTCTGAGCATCTACCATTTTGTCAGCCCGTGTGGGTTGCAGCCATGAGCTAGCCATCTGTTGGTGGGATCCCAGGGGCTGGCTGTTCAGGGGGAAGTCTGTCCACGGACCCCCTGACCTCGCCCAGACAGCAGAGGGAAAAAAGTAGCTGATGCTCCATTCTGAAGCTGTTTTAAAGTGCTTCATGCTAAATATCTGCAGAGTGTAATATTTTAATTAATTCCCTCTAAGCTCTTAAAGTGGTAAATGCCTGTTTGACCTGTTCTCTCTAATTACCTTCAGCATATTTCAACAGACTGCAAATACCATCTAATTTTTGGAAACAAGTGCAGGATAAATTGAGTCTGAGGCTGAGGGCTTTTAAGGCAGCGAAACCTGGCTTTCCAGAGGAGGTGTAAGATGGTGCTGGTGGAGGTGGAGGGTTCCCCAGAGCTAGGGCTCTGGATCCACAGGTCCTCTTCGAATAGGTAGGCTGGGGTCAAGGCTTTGGTTTTGATGATCTTATTCAAATTAGTTTAGTAATGTCCGTCTCAAGTGTGGTCACGGGGAAAAGTCCTACATAAAGCAACTTCAGGAAAGGTAGAAAAAGCTCTCAGGCCTTGAGAGAAATCTTGGGCATCGTGAAATGGAATGAACAGGCATCGGAAGTCCCACAGTCTCGGCTCCCCTTTGCTGAATATTGACGATGCCCCAGGTCCTGGGTGAGCCTTCACATCCATTATCTCAGGTACCTGCATCCTATCATGCCTCCTCGGGAGATGTCACTAGCCCCATCTTACAGGTGAAGAATAGAATCAGAGAGGTTTTCTAACTTCTTTAAAGCAAGTAGATTTAAAACCCAGTAGGAACAGCACCTGGCATCCAGGATTAGGAAGAGAGAAGGTGGATGGTAGAGTTAATAAAAGGCAGAAATGAGAGTGTTGAGGACGCCATTGGTGAGGGTCTTGGGGTCCGGACTAGTGAAATTTATGAGAGAACAAAGGGCATGTCAGCATAAAAGAGAACTCTCCTCACCATGGCAGCTGCCTTCAGGCCCAGTTGTATCAAGCACGACCTGTGAATTGAGGTGTTTCTCAGCACAGACTTACAGAAGCAGCTGGACGCCCACAAGGGGAATGGAGGAGAGGATTCTCCTAGGCCAGTGATGGCGAACCTATGACACGCGTGTCAGAGGTGACAGGCGAACTCATTTTTTTGGTTGATTTTTCTTTGTTAAATGGCATTTAAATATATCAAATAAATATCAAAAATATAAGTCTTTGTTTTACTGTGGTTGCAAATATCACATAGAAAAAAAATTTCTGTATGTGACATGGCACTAGAGTTAAGTTAGGGTTTTTCAAAATGCTGACACGCCGAGCTCAAAAGGTTTGCCATCACTGCTCTAGGCCCTTGTTTAAACTAGACTCAACTGACCTTTGAGCTCAGGAGGAGGGAGAAGACCCTTTGGGTGCCAGGCTGAGGGCATGCCACCAGGAACTGCCCCACTGACAGTGACGAACTAGAAGAGAAGGAGCCATTCGGACCCAGCCGCTTCTTGCAGATAACGCTCCGACAGCTCCGCCTGATGCTGTTTCCATACCTGCTTCCTCCACGAGCTGCTGGCCCTGCAGAGAGGGCTGCGTCTTAGATGGTTTTTCTCCTCACACTCTGCCTGGCCCCTGTTAGGCACTCAATAAACGTTGGAATGAGTGAGTGCAGGAATGAGCGTCTGAAATGAGAAGAGATGAGTTCTGTCCGGAAGCTGCGGGAGCCGCTTCCCAGACCCTCCAGGAAGGGTTCCTGGGAAAGGTGGATCCTGGCCCCACCCACACACACAGAGGAGCTCCAGGATGTGTTGCCCCATCAGAGGAAACCAGGCTTGACACCACTTTCATTTCATATACTTAGGCTTGCTGCGTCTGCTCACTATTTCTTTACCTTTCGGCACTTTGCCTACAATTAGGATAAATTGCCATGTGGGCAGCAATGGAACAGGCTCATAGAACTCTTTATTAAAATAGCTGAGTGCTAACATTGAAGAATGAAGTGGCTAGAACTAAAGAACACGTTTTTAAAGAAGGCAAACACCTAGGTACAATGTAGTACCTTAACTGTTATCAATCACTACTTAATCTAATTAGCTCAGAAGCTATTTTAAGGGGCTTAATTAGATTAAGCTGTGATTGATAACACTTTATATCCACTTGAGTAGAGCACTTCTTCTAATTCACCTTGAATCTTTATGCTTCCCGTCAAAAGCCTGTTTGGGGCATGTGCGGAGAGGGAAGTGGGGAGGCTTTGATTGGCACTGAGGTCACTCAGGTTGTCTGGTCCAGGCTGAGCTGGGGGCGTTGGCAGAGTCCTTGGGCACAGACATTCTGAGACCTAGTGAGGTGGCCTTGACAAGGACACCCTGAGATTCTAGTTCAGGAGGCCTGAGAGCAAACGGGGAAGCATAGGTCAGCAGAGCAAAGCATGGGCACCTCAGCAGGCCTACAGATGTCTGGGGCCCACCCAGAGTTAGGTGGCATGAGGAGTACCAGGCCACACCCTCTTGGTAGAGTTGAGCTGCTGATCACAGTGGAGTTGGGGTTGGGGGCTGGCTTAGCTTGACCATGGAAGCTCATCGCTGCGCACAGGGCAGCAGGTCAGGCAGGGCATGTGGGGCCTCCCCCTACCCCAGTGCTCCAGGAACTGTGACTTCCCTCTGAACCCACTGAGAACTATGAGGGAAGAAAGCAGAAGGTTATACCTGGGTGGAGACTGTACAGACTTCAGTCTCTTCTGGGCTGGGGGTGAGAGGTGGGGATGGGAACTGGACCTCGTCTAAACGAAACTTTCATCTTCTCTCTGCAGCCCGCATGTGTGATGCCCACCTTCGAGGCCCCTCAGGCATCATCACGTCCCCCAACTTCCCCATTCAATACGACAACAACGCACACTGTGTGTGGATCATCACAGCACTCAACCCTGCCAAGGTGAGGCTCCTGAGGAGCGTGGGTGGTGTCCTGTGGGCAGGGCTTGGCTGGGGACAGTTGGTCTACAAGGGTTCCAAACTCAGAACTTGGTTGTGGTGGGTTCTTTGTAGGCAAATCTTTAAAATTGTTTTTATTAAATATCAAGTAGATAAAAAGCAAAATATAAGTAAGATATAAAGAACATCAATGCAATAGACACCTGCATAGCCAAATCCCAGTTACCTTAGTGGTGTATATCCCTCACCAGCCCCATCCCATTCCCTATCCCTCAGGCACACTCTACCTTGATTGTGTGCTTATCATTCCTCTTCCTTTGTTTACAGTTTACACATAAATGCGTATTCTTAAAAATACTTTGTCTAGTAAGCCAGCATTTGAACTTCATATAAAGGTAGTCATGTTGTATATATTCTTAATCAACTTCACTCAAAATTATGTCCCTAAGATTTATCTATGTTGTGTGTAGTTTTGCAATGCTATACACATCTTTTCACACACTTATTTCACATTTAGTTCTCTCTGTTTTGGTGACATGCCCTTTGTTCTCATAAATTGTACAAGTGTCTTGCCAAGATCCACAGAATAACCTGTTGGAATCTTTAGTTATACCAAACTATAGATCAATTAGAAAAGAATGCTTATATTTGTAATTCTGAGTCTTCTGGTCCATGAGTATGGTATTTCTCTCTATTGACTTAGGACTTCTTTAATGGCTTTCAATAAACTTTTGAAATTTTTCCATTACAGATCTTGTACCATTTCTTAACATATTTACTCCTAAATGTGTTATATTTGTTGTTGCTGTTATAAATCATATCTTTTAAATTTTTATTTTCTACCTATTTCTTGCTGATGTTTAAAATACAATTAGTTTTTATTCTTTGATCTTTATATATAGCAACTCTTTTGTAATAATTTATCTGTGAATTATTTGAGATTTTCTCTACAAGACAATCATTATCTTCAAAAAATGATGGTTTTATTTCTTACTTTCCAGTCCTTATACCTTCTCTTCATTTCTTTTCTTGCCCCAACGTTCTGACTTAAACCTCAAATATAATGTCAAATGACTGTGATGATGGTGGGCACTCTTGTCATTGTTTGCTGTTAATAGAATATTCTTCATCATTATGATATTTGCTGAAGCTTTTTTTTATTTGTTTTTTCCTAATCTTAGTTTGCTAAAAACTTTTATTGTGAATGGACGTTGAGTTTTATCAAGTACCTTTGTATACTTATTAATATGATTTGCTCCTTTATTTTCTTAGTATGGTGAATTACATGGGTTGACTTTTCTGATGTTAAACCAACCTCACATTCCTGGTATAAACTCAACTTGGTCATTTAGCATTACCAATTTTATACATGCCTATAATTGATTTGCTAATATTTTATTTAGTAATTTGCTTCTATTTTGTTAGATTGGACTTTTATATTACCCTTGCCAGATAATTTTTGTCAAATATTGCTAATATCATAAAATAATGTAGAGAGTGTTTCCCCTCTTCTGTTCTATGGAACTAAAAGTGGAAGATTAGAATAGCTTTGGAAGTTCTGTGCAACATTTCAGGAAAATTATCTGGGTCTGATGTTCCTTTTTTGGAAGATTTGAAACTATAGGTTTATCTTTTTATGACTAAAGGATTATTTATATTATCTGTTTTTTCTTGAAGCCATTTTATTAAGTTTTCTAATTTATTGGGTATAAAGTTGTACATACTATCTTTTATTATATATTTTTATTCCCCTTTTCATTTCTATTTTGTATCTTTTTTATCAATATTGCCAGAGGTTTTACATTTTACTATTTTTGGAAAGAACCAATTTTGATTTTCTTAATACTTCTTTTGATATATTTATTTTCTATTTCATCATTTTCTGCTCATCTTTACTTTTTTCTATTATATTTGGATTTATCTTGTTATTCTTTTCTGGCATCTTAATGTCAATGTTTAATTTATTATTTTTCAATCTTATTTAAATATTTAATGCTATAAATTTCCCTCTAAGAACTATTTTGGCTACATTCCCACAGGTTTTTATGCATAGTGTATCTATTATAGTTTAGTTATGAATATTTTCCAATTTCCATTACTCTTTCATCTTTCAACCCACAGCTTATTTAGAAGTAGTTCCTAATTTTCAAACAAAGGGTTTTTCTAGCTGTCTTTTTGTTACTGGTTCTAAAGCTTGTGGTCAGAGAAAATTGTATTTGAATCATTTGAAATTTGTTGAAACTTGCCTTTTGGACCAGAAATGGTCATTTTTTCACACATATTCTGTGTGTACTTGGAAAAATGAAGTGTATTTTGTAGTTTTTGTGTCTTATTGCATCAAGCTTGTTGATTGTGCTTATGCTAGTATTCTTTATATCTTCATTGATTTTATCTTCTTGATCAGACAGCTGCAGAGGACGGCATACTAAAACCTCCCTCTATGATGAGAGAACGCTAGGAATAATAGACAAAAGCCACTATGGCTTTTGTCTATTATTCCTAAAGTTCTCTTAATTTTGCTTTATATATATTGGGACTATGTTATGAGATCATGCAAATTGAGAATTATATATCTCATAATTATGTAATGACTCTCTTTATCTGTAGTAATGTTTTAAAGTTTTTTCCCAGCTATTACATCAGCTTTCTTTTGGGTTTTGTCTAATAAATATTCTCTTCTTGCTTTCAACCTTGCTAAGACCTCAGTCCAGGCACATCCTGTCCCAGTGTGCCTTCCCTTCTCCTCAGGGCAAATTCCTTTTTCCCCTTTGAGACACAATTAAAATACCCCCTCTTCTGAGAAGCCTTCCTAACTCCTCGAGGTCTTGCTCCTTCCTGTTCCTACTTTGTATATATCACATTGTACTGGGTTTAGAATCTCTTTCTCCTGTAGCTCAGAAATGCCCTGAAAGCATTTTGGAATCTTGTACAGTATTTCTTCTGCAGTTACCACAGTGCTCAGTGCAGAGGAGGAGCACAGCGGGTGTTTGAATAAGTTAATAACTGATGGAGACCTGTGTCCGTGTCTAGTAGCTCCTCATGTGTGGCCCCGCCCATGTTTGGCCCCAGGGCCACCTCCTGTTATGACCTTTCAGTTCAGCCTCATGGAAGACATGGGTGATGACATTTCCGTGGTCAGGAGTAAAACCCAGTCCCGTGTCTCTGCCCCCTACCGACACACATCTGCCTTTCTTTCGCAGCTTCTCAGTGTGAACTCAAGACTTATGATTCCGTGTGCATATGAACTTCAGTGGATTTGATTGGGAAAGTTAATCCAGCTTTGCTAAAAAAAAAAAAAAAAAAGTAGAAGTGAGGCTGGAAAGGGAGGGGACATGGAAGGGAGAAGGAGGGGGCATGGAAAGGAGAGGGAAAGGAAAGCTCATTTCATGAACTTCAAAGCCAAAGATAATAGTGTTTTGATTATTCACTCTTTAAGGATTATCACTGTCACTCTTCCCTTTGTAAGCCTGAAGAATTAAGAATTAACTCTCTAGGCAAGTGATCACTCAGGAGTGCAAATGTCAGGAATACATTTGTTGGCCCATTTGCTCACTCGCTCACGCATTCAGCATTTACTCATGCCCTCTGTGCTGGACTGTGCAAGCTGCTGTCTGGCTCTCAGAGAAGCCAAGTTTGCATGACAGGGTAGCTTAGAGGGACCTTTTAATGGCCGCCTCCAAGTCCTAAACTTGATCCCTTTTTTTTTTTTTTTTACAGTTTCTTCACTTCCCATCATATCTTGGCATTCCTCTTCCCCTAGAACTAACTGCACACCCTTCTCTGTTCTTGAAGACAAGCCCCGCCCCTTGTCTAGCCAGGATTGTATGCCCCTCATGTTTGCCCATACCCACGCTTCCCTAATTTCAGTACTCATCACACCATGTGGTGTTTTCCGTATACTTGTAAGTCTCTTCTAGAATGTGAGCTCTCTGGGTGGTGGCCATGTTTATCTTGCCTGCTATTGCCTCCCCAAAGCCCAGCACTTGGCAAGTGCATATTAACTATTGAATGAATGAATGAATGAATGAATGAATCCATCAATCAATGAGTGGATGAGTCACAAATGGGTGAAAGGGTCTACTATTTTCAGAGCCACCAAAATTAAACGGAGGTTGTGACCAAAGTTCCAGAACCTCCTAAAGTTCTCAATCTCTATCCATGGGCTTTCTTTCCCAACCTCCTCAGAAGCCTTCCTCATCCAAAATATATAAAGAGCTCATACAACTCAATCACAAAAAAACACGAGCAATCCAAAATGAACAGAGGATCTGAATAGACATTTTTCCAGAGAAGCCATACAGGTGGACAACAGGCACATAAAAGGATGCTCAACATCACTAATCATCAGGGAAATGCAAATCAAAACCACAGCAAGACATCACCTCACACCTGTTAGAATGGTTATTATCAAAAATAAAAGAAATAACAAGTGTTGGAGAGGATGTAGAGAAAAGGAAACCTTCATGCATTATTGGTAGAAATGTAAGTTGGTGCAGCCATGATCACCTCACACCTGTTAGAATGGTTATTATCAAAAATGAAAGAAATAACAAGTGTTGGAAAGGATGTAGAGAAAAGGAAACCTTCATGCATTGTTGGTGGAAATGTAAGTTGGTGCAGCCACAATGGAAAACAGTATGGAGGTTCCTCAAAAAGACTAAAAATAGAACTGCCATATGATGGAGCAATTCTGCCTCTGGGTATTTATTTCAAGAAAATGAAAACACTAATTTGAAAAAATATATGCACCTTGGTGTTCATTATAGCATTATTCATAATAGCCCAAGATATGGAAGCAACTAAGTGTCTATCAGTAGATGAATGGATAAAGAAGATGTAATTTGATTAATGGAATACTATTCAGCCATAAAAAAGCATAAAATCTTGTCATTTGCAACAATATGAATGGACCTTAAGGGTATTATGCTAAAGAAAATTATACAGAGACAGACAAATACCATATGATTTTACTTATATGTAGAATCTAAAGAACAAAACAAGTGA